CCAGAACCGCTCTCTTTGGCCATTGGCTAATGAGGCTCCAGTGGAATGTGGGACTCTGTCTTCTACTACATGGAAAGGGTCAGTTAGTTACTGAAGACCAGAAACGCCTTAAGATGGCTCTTTCTGGTGCTGAAGACCTCGAAGACAGTTTTACAGAAAAGCCCAACTTTAACGTTCATCACCCATCTTGACCAGCCAGCTCCAGGCACAGCAAAGAAGCTGTGAGGTTTTCTTTCTAGCTCCATCTACTACACCTTTCAGAAGTTTTCCCCTGCTCATGAAGTCCCTGAGCATCTCTTGACCTGACTCAGTCTACACTCAGCCCCTGCTAGGTGACATGTAGAAAGATCTGGATAAACTCATTCATACTGGGACAGTCATTAAAGTAAGTACAATTACACCTGAGATCCTCATTCAATTCTAACGACGCCCTGAGAGGTCTACCTTCATCCACTTTTTACGGATGAGAAACAGAGACCGCGAATAAGTTAAGCAATGTGCCTTGTCTGTGGTCACACGTGCTAGTAGGGGTAGACTTTAATTAACTGCCACCCCCACTTTAAATCCACCATTATTTCTACAACACCACTCTGCATCTCATGGAATGAATATATGACCTCTGCCAAAGAGTATGTATATTTTAATAGAAAACAAACCCTGGGTTCAGTGAAATGAATCTCCAAACAGTGGAAGTTCAGGAAGTAACCATGGTCTACGGTAGGACTTTTTTTCTTCAATACAGGGAACTTCCCGATAACCCTTAAACCACAACACACAGATTGCTATCCATTGCCCAGTCACAAGTTTAATTCCCATTTTGCTTTGCACTTAGGCACTTCTGACTTCTAACTTCAGACATCTTTGCTCTAGATTAGTTCTTAAAGCCTGAAAATTGCAAATCTCGCTCAGAAACTGGACTGATTTTTGCTAACCATGATACTTTTTGGAATAACAATCTCTCTTGCAGCTTTAACGAATGAAGAAAAGTCAGTGAAACAAATAGCCTGGAAAACCATTCGTTCCCTTTGCTTCTCTCTGTCTTCGTAGATGGGCTTCATCTTCCCTGCATACAATAATCCAACAGCTCTCCTCATATATCAGATGTCCTTTTTCAGTCTCACCTGCCTTGTCAAATACAGAAAATTCTACATAAAGCAGTATTTCCAACATTATCTTCTCACTACCTATGCGGACATGGATTTGTAACTTATCCCACTTACAAAGTGGTAGATTTGCAAACCTAATTTCAGGGCCTAGAATAGTGTCTGGCTCATTGTAGAAGGCCATGTACCACTGCTGAATGAATGCATATAAACTAATTCATTCTGTCCACCCAGCATCTTCACATTAGTCTTTCTCCCTTCTCCACTTGTACCTTAAGCACTTCAGATGCAAGGAAAGCATGGTGCTGCTTTGTAAATCTAACTAACAAGCTCTCTGAAGAAGAAACAGGTATGTATAGGTCAGCAAGATATATGCCTGATTTGAGAACTGGTCTTCTCTTCCAATACAAATTCTATAGCCTTCCCATTGTCCATAAAGACACAGATGCCACAGACAAGCCCTCTGCCTACAGATATTCAAAGAAATTTTGAGATTACACAGGAATTTTACACTGGTCATCAGGGCCACAATCCACATCCTTTCCTCACAATCCCAAAGTAGGCCCACTGCAGGCCCTTAAGAAAGTGCAGTCATCCCTACAGGTCCAGTGGTCACCACCGAGTTATGGAATTTTCCTAGGAATAATAAGCAGAGCCCCTGCACCTCTCCTTAAGGAAAACATGATCTTTAGCACACCAACCTGAAGGATAATAAGGCAGCTTAGGCCAGTCTCTTGCTAGAAAATGAAAACAATAACCTCTCTTTGGAATGTAGCGATGTATGCTCAAGGTGTTCAACATGGTGAGTTGACATTCACTACACAACACTAATTACAAAGATGCCAAAGCTGCTCTGCACCATGAGGTTCAGTGACTTGTCCGGGGTTGTACAAATGATCCTCGGCACCAACATGACCTGACTCAGTCATTAATCCATAACGTTCTGCTGGCTCCTTGCCCCACCTAATTTGCTCTACCTACAGCGAAAAGAGCTTGACTTTCACCTACAAAATCAGCCCAACCGAGGGACTAGACCTAGACCAGTTTCCTTCTTACAGAATATTCAAACTGTATTTTACAGATGACAAAACTGAGGCCCAGAGAAGCTCAGCGCAATGTCTAAGGTCAAGGAGTTCTAGAAATCTAGTGTCCAGACTTCCAGTCCAGTATGACCAAGGATGAAGGGGGGGGGGGGTTCTATTTAAAATATTAATCTTATGCTAATAAGTGGAGGAATGCAAATCTGTACATATAAACATGGTAATTTTTAATATAACATAAAAGTGAAAAGCATAAGAGAGAGGACTGAGAACCAAAACTGGATGGAAATACACCAAAATGTTAACAATGGCTATGTCCAGATGGAAGTATGATGGATGATTTTTAATTTTTTTCTCAATATTTGTATTTTCCAAATTTTTTGCAATAACCCTTACTAGTTTTATAATATAAAAAAGAGAGAGAATAAATGTTATGGAATATTCAGCTCCACTTACACTAGAAGTCATCTGCATTGAAAGAGACTCATGGAGAGGTAGGTAGAGCAGAAAATAATGATAGGAACTGAAGACAACATACTTACCCACCAACTGCGGGAGAGAAGAAGCCTCCCTGTCCAACATGATGGATCCTTTCTCCATACATGTCCTCAGCTCAAATAAGCTATGAAGGGACAAGGTGGCCACGTGGGGCTTGCTCCATCTCTCCCCACCCTGTTCCACTTTTTCTTCAAACTTAATCCACCTAGAAACATGAGATTAGTGAAGAACCATTAGAAGTGTTCTCATCACCTCTGGAAATAGCAACACCAACCCCACAGATCCACCCCCACCAGCACTTCCAAAATGTCTCCTTTTGTGGAGTCTTAAAAGCTTATTCTATCATTAACTGCATTACCTTTATAAATACACCAAACAGACTCACTAGACCGCTCCTCCCCCTCATGTTAGAGAGAAAGAAAACAAACCAAAAGGGGCCAACGCCTCCTTGGTTTTATATCTGTCTATATGTAACCATGAAATCCTTAAGAATGACTACTGAACCAAAATTTTCACATAATGTAGGAAAAATATGCATTTCAAATTCTCCATGTGGGTAGAGCCTACAGTGTGTAAAAAAACCACCACTGTGAGAATTCTGTTGTGACTTCACAAGGCACGTTTATATAAGGTAAAATATCAGCATGAATCAATACTGATCTTAAATATTTGAAAATATGGTGTGTGAAGTGGTCAGACAAATAAAATTCCCCTTTCATGCTTAAAGAGTGCCAGCATGTGTTGCTGTACCTTACTTTAATACATCTCTCTCAGTTGACACATGTTCCCCTCTCATTGAGATGCTAATAGCTTTACCCCTCATGTTTGGCTCCACATGTGTTTCAAAATACACAAGCTCAGTGAACAATGCATCTACTCTGATAATAACAGATCTCTTATTAACCTTAGTAATGGAACAAAAAACCCTCTCTTATAGTTTCTTCTTTCTAAGATTTGTAGACATTTTGATAACTTTGCAATATATAGGAATGAAAAAAGTTTAATGGAAATGAGAGCGAAACACATTTGACAGTCTATATCCCACATATTATACATACTGACTCTTCCTACACTGGTAAAGGAAATCAAGAAAGCATTATCATTTTGCTATTCATCATGACCCAAAGAAAAATGCTGCTTTCTATCACTTCAAACCTCTGAAAGATACTGAACAAGATAAAGAGGGGGTTAAAAATTGTTTTCCTACATTCTTCATGCAAAGGTTTAATGATTGAAAAATGTTTTCCTAGAAAAAGCTAAACACTCACCCAACTCATTAAAGATGAGAACAAAGGGCAGAGATCAGAGGAAGCTCTACATAAGGTATTATTTATAGACCACTCACCACCCCCAGAGGAAGAAAAGAACACATTAGTAGAACCAAGAGTGAAAACAGATCAACAGATCAGCCACAATGTCAAAGAAAACTCAGAATTTTAATCAAGCCCAACACTCATGTGATTCATAAGTATATGAGCCATATCCCAAAATTCCCTCTTCCCTCTCCCGGCCAGGAAACTTCCAAGCTTCAATGGCAACCTTAGCCCCAGCTTCAACCTCCACTTTAAGACCCTCCTCCTTTTGCCTGTATCCCCAAAAATGTAGGGAGTAGAGATTTTTACATGTCTTCCTCACATTAAAAAGCCAACACCAAAGAAGTTCTAAAACTTCAGAACTGGACCTTGTTTATTCTACAAAAGTGGTTGTGAAACATTCTGAGAGAAAGACCTTTAATATTCGTGTGTGTGTGTGTGTGTGTGTGTGTGTGTGTGTGTGTGTGTTAATTAGTAGTTCTTCACCTTGGTTGGTATTAGAACCACAGAAATAGAAGGAAGTGAGAGAAAAATGACAACTTTATATTACATTCTTATAGAATTCCATGGATTTGCCAAAACAATAAAAGGTAATTGGGTTATTTTGAGAGTAATCATTTTATGGAGTATATTACATTGGCTAACTTTAGGCATATTATCTTTTCAGGCTTACTCACAGAACCTCTAACCATGTTGACTGGGAGCTAGTATATGAATCATATTTACATCTGATGTTACATTTTTTTGCTCAAGATGAGACTCTAGAAGATTCCATAGCATATGAAACCTAGTCAGGGTTACATATAATTATGTTATTGATAAAGAGTATAGTGACCTTGTTTTTATTCCTAAGAGTATTCTTATTAGCTGAAGGATAGAATCTTTAGTCACAGAATTTAAGTCCAAGATGAATGACAAGGGCCAGCTAGAATCTCAGTAAATGGGAGTGTTCTATACATACAGCTTTCACTTCCCTCTTCTCTTTCCTAAATGATAACCAGTTGCCCTTCTATCAGTCGCCATCAATCTGTATGGCCAAATCCATTTTGTAAAAGAAAACTAAGCCTCACTTACATACGGTATGTGACAGTAGCTCTTTTCTGCTATCATCTTCAACTCCAAACAATATAAGTTTAACAAAATGTTCTTTAAGAAAAGAAAAAAAGGAACAAAACCATTGCATTCTTCTGTGACCAATCTCCTCTCCACAGTTTACCTTAAATATGACTTTGAACAAGTTTTAAAAGTACATTTAGAAATAATAAATCCCAACTAGCTTGGATTTAGGGAATAGTATTACTCACCCTCCTGGATTATACCAGCCAAGATTAGGTCAAGCTTTAACCATAATGGAATGGGAATGTAGTCTCAAAACTAGCCAGCTCCTTAGAATTTACATTCCTAACAGACAAGTGTTGTCTCATAGTTCAGTTTAAGCATCTATTTCACTTTGAGTTCAGTAAATATTGTATGTTGAGATGATGTCATATCATAGTATAGCTAACTGCACAAAGTAACTCTGGGATAATGACTACTAAATTACTTTAAAATACATTGCTCTAATTGTTCAAGGAACTGACTGTACTTCCAATATACACTTTTACTCAGAAAGTAATGATTTGCCCATTTAAACAGATTGTTTGCAGGTCGTTCCATTCCAGAAACTACACATGCTATGTCTATCCTCCTCACATATCAAGGACAAATTTGGAAAAAACTGAAAACGACTCAGTTCAAATCAGAACCCATTAAAGAAAAGGCTAAGGCAAAGGTACCAAAGTTCAGGCTATTGGAGTGTCAATGAAATTGTAAAGGTGCTTTAGAACCATGTAATTACATTAAAAAAAAAAAGAGGACATTTTTACTGTAAAATGTACTAAAAGCTACTATCTACCCTTCATAACAACTATGAATAACCATGTATTTGCAATAAGTTTCCTACTTTTCCTTTTGCCTCAGTACTTGACATGTTATAAGAAAATTAATTTCAGAAGCTGGCTTTTTAAACGCTAGCAATTACAAAACTGTTGTAACCTTGAAGGAAGAGTTTATTAGGTGAAGTTTATTTATTCCAAGGTCTTTGAAGAATAATGATAAAGTACACTGCAGTTTAACCCACTTTGAGTGACTGCCAACCAAACAGCATTTCACTCATTTGTTGAAGAAATAGAAAGTCCACTGGGAAACACTGAATTTTGCAACTTTCCAATCATATGATTAAATATACTTAAGAAAAGAAAAGACCTCTAACTTTAAAACATGCCAGTTTTACAGTGGAAAATAGACAGGACCTTTGTCTTGGAACATAATCCAACTACGTAAAGCTATTTTAAAGCAATAATAAATTTCTTGCTAAATAGTAAGTGCCTCACCGCACATAAAAGAAGCCAACGCTAGTGTGCATCTGGGATAAATGATGTTTTTAAGGAGAATTCTTAAATATCTACATCAACTGTGAAAGTTATTGCAAAACAGTATAGTAAGCACATAAAATTACATAGATGATTAAATTCCTTATTCTTCAGACTTTTTCTTACAGAAAAAGTAAACTTGGTCTAAAATGGAATTTTCCAGAGCCATCCAGTAGAGGAGAGATAGAGGGATCAGGGTAGATTGGGAACAGAGAGGGCCCTATGCAAAGCCCCAGGGTAAGTGCATGTGGCTGGGTTTGATGGCCAGGCCCCGAAGTCACGTTCTCCAGAGGGAGGCAGGGTCACTCGTGCTGTCCCACTAGAACTGAAACATCAGTACCCTTTTCCTTTGTTGGCTTGTTGGGTTTATTGAAACTTGTTATGTCTTTCCTTTTTACCCAGGTTTGGCCGTAAAATTTGAATCGCAGGGAAGAGGGGAAGTGATCTTTAACATATAGTGATAAATTCCAACATGTCCCATCTGAATATTCGCTGAGGGAAAACTGAAAGCCAATAACCATGTTTACGGACATCACTGACTCAGAGGAATACAGCGTTTGGAGTGGTAGTGACAGCCCTTCTTCCTGGCTTTGGGCCATCACCAAAGCTGGACCATGACTTATTCCTCTACCAGTCTTCTTCATGAATCCATTAGCTAACGCCTAGCCACCTAGCAATTGTTAATGAGAAGCATAGGCTCATTCACTAACACCAAATATTCCATTATAACTACTGCTACACCACTGAATGTCAGTATTCTAATGACCTAACACTGAGGATACTCCTTTGAAAAAGAATATTCTCTGCATTCCACTGATTATATACAGTTCTCAGGTCTGATCATTCTACCCTTGGGAGAGTCAGTGAAAATTCAAAGTTCTGACTTTCAGGAAAGGGAACAGCAGGGAAACGATGTGAAAAAAGAGGGTGGTAGAATTGACTTCAGACTTCATGTAAATAAAGATTTCCCTTGTTTATAGTTTTACATGACTACTGTGCTTTGTGAGACTTCAGTGGGGATATTTTTCCTACCACTGAAAGCATTTTCCTTATTTTTTAAGACACACAGCTAACCTGAACTTCCTGAAGTAAGACTAAAACTGCAGTAATGCTGAGATGATATTCTTGGTCAAAATCAAATCATTAGTCAACTGAAAAAAGTATAGAACATTAAAAGGGAGAGTACTGGGCTTCCCTGGTGGCGTAGTGGTTGAGAGTCCGCCTGCCGATGCAGGGGACACGGGTTCATGCCCGGTCCGGGAAGATCCCACATGCCGCGGAGCGGCTGGGCCCGTGAGCCATGGCCGCTGAGCCTGCGCGTCCGGAGCCTGTGCTCCGCAATGGGAGAGGACACAACAGTGAGAGGCCCGCGTACCGCAAAAAAAAATAAATTAAAAAATAAATAAATTTTTTTAAAAAAGCATAAAAAAAAAGGGAGAGTACTAAAGAGGGTACTATTGTGTTCTATGGGGTGTAGGCTCACAGTAGAAACCACACTGAGCTTGAGAAGTCGGGCAGGCTAGTTCTCCATGGAATAAAATAGTCCATTTAATTGGAGTTTTCACAAAAAGCAAATAATTCTCCATTTTATGTTAGCCAAAAGAATATTCATGCAGTATTTTCATATGTAAAATGAGCTCCTTCTAAGCACTAAACTTTTATTAGTCTGGTAGGTTTGAGAGCTTTTCATGGGGAAAAAAAGCCCTATCAGGTCTGGAAACTGGACATCATAAATGGCAGTCAGAAATTACTGCAAAAAACATTCAGAAGCAGAGTTACGTTGCAGGAAGTAAAAATCACTGTCAATTTGAATCATTTCTGGAGGCACAACCACCTCCAAACTTTCCAACAGAATTTAGGTAGAACAGTAAACTAAGAATCAAGGTTCTATTTCTCTATTCTTTCATTCTATAAGCACGTATTTCTCGATTGTGGACTGTGTGCCAGGTAGTTGTAGGCACTAGGAATATAGTGGTGAACAAAACAACCAAAAATTCCTCCCCTCATGGAGCTTTAATTTTATTGGAAAGAGACAATAACAAGATATGTTAATATGCTAACTGCTGATAAGTGCCAAAGACGAATAGAATGGAGGATGAGGGATAAGAAGGTTTGGGGAAAGTTTCTATTTTAGACAGGGCAGTCACTGAGAAGGTCATATTTGAAAAAAGACCTGAAGGAGGTGAGGAAATGAGCCAGGGAGATGACTGTGGAGTACAGCAGGGAGAGCATTTCAAGTGCAAACCACATTTGAACAGCAAGTACAAAGGCTCTGACACAGGAGTATGACCAGGCCAGTGAGGCTTGAGCAGAGTGAACCAGGGGGAGAGAAGTAAGAGATGAGGAGATGAGGTCAGAGATCATAGTGTATAGTTCATGAGGGAGGCAAGGGCAGGTTCAGGGAGATGGACTAATTAGGAAGCATTTTCAGTAATCTAGATGAGAAAGGATGGAGGCTTGGACCAGGGTTGTGGCAGCACTGAATGTGAGATATGGTGAGATTCTGAATATCTGAATAACATTGAGGGTAAACTAAATAGGATGTGCCAGTGGATCAAGTAAGGGGTGTAGAGAAAGACAGGAGTCAAGGAAGACTCCAATCTTTCTGGATTGAGCAACTAAAAACATGGAGTTGTTCATTGAGGCGGGGAACTCTGTAGGAGATCTGCGGTGGGTAGATGAGAAGCTCAGTTTCTGACATGTTACTTTGAGATGACTACTACCCAACCAAATATTTGTTTTCAATCAAACAAGGCAAGAAGTCTGGGCTAGAGAACTAGACACAGATGGCATCAGCATATTGATGAATTAGTTGGAAACATCAAACAAAGGTCCTCTCTTGGGCTTTATCAATGGTGTACTGGGTAACTTGGGTCTGTCATCGAGCTGTCCATTAGTCAGAAAGAGATGGATTATCACCAAACTCCAGCTTTGATCACGTAATGTTTCTAAGAAAGTATTATATTTAGAACAGTAGATTCTAAGGCAATGAGTTCTCAACTAATCACACTCAGCAAATGTTACTGAGCACCTATTACGTACCAAGCGCTGCAAAGCACTGGGAATATAGTAATGAAAGACAGACATGGTGGTCTCTCCCTCTAGACAAATTAGTGTAATGAGGGAGACAAAATGAAAACAATACTATCACATATATGATTAATTAATTAATAGTAATTGTGGCAAATCCTATATAGGAGAAGTTATAGAAGGTAGACTATTTGTGAGTATGTTTCTTCCTGGGCAACTTCCCCCGATACATGGTGTACTCCCATCGTACTTCCTCTCCAGCTGTACATACAGTCTCTCAGGGACCAATGACATCACCAAAATGACACATATGTTCCTAAGGAAATAGTAAGTCTTTAAAGACGGTAAAGTATTCATGACCATCTTAACCTTTAAGAATCTTAAATGAAAATACTATGTCCATCTCATTCAATGTTGAACTACCTAAACAATGAGCTGTGACCTCTTCGCATTTCTGGGACCAGGGGTCACATAAAATAAAGTGTAGTCTGCCTTTGGCTGAAAGAGAAAACAGAATGCTACACCTGAATTCTACTCTATATAGTTACTCACACAGAATTTTAAGATGAAAGTAAGAATCAAAGGAACTCTTCTAGTCGCAGCTGACTACACAATTATATGCACAGGGATGGAACTTTAGAGCTATAAAACACGCATGATGTCAGACAGGATGCAACCCAGTATGATTCTCATTTGATAGTATAGAAAATACAAGCTCAGGAAGACTACATGACTATATAACTTGCCCAAAGATAGACAGCTAGTTAGCAGCAAAGCCAAGACTAAACCAAAATCTCCCCAACACTTAACTCATGCTGCACCAGTATAATTCTCACTCTGTTTTTTTCTATTAGAAAGAAGGAAAAGAAAGGATGAAATGGAGATACTGGTACAAGTTTTCACTTTGAGAGCCTTCTTTCGGAGAATGTTTTATGAACTGAAAGTATACTTTATGAAGGACTTTTAATATCCAGGTTATTGGTGCTGAGAGGGGAATACGAGACAATTACTATATCATGGAAAGTGGCCCCAAAAGAATAAAGAGTGAAGAGCTTCAAGTGGCAGCCTCAGAGATGGAGGAGCAGAAATGAGTTATTGCCCACTTCCGTATTCCCAGTACCTAAAACAGTGCCTGATGTGTACTATGCATTCAGAACATAGTTGTTGAATTTAACTGATCTGAATTGAATGACAGACTATAAAAGGCATATGTTAACATTATTTTGTTTGTGAAAGTCAAATGCATTGAATCCCCATATAATGATGACAACGAGAGACCAATAACTGTATTATATCAACGTCTTTATGGTACACAATTTTTATATGTTATAGAAGATTTAGTGTGGCATACAGAACTAAATATACATGCAGAAAGACAGAAAGAAAAGCTCTTATGGTGAAATTAATGAAACTTTAGGTATTTGTGCAGTGCTTAACAATTTACAAAGCATTTCCATATATATACCTGTATGTATGTATATAAATATCCATGATATAATTCGATATCTAGTAGAACCTTATATTCACATATTATATATCTTATATCACATACATATATATTATATGTAATAGACATTATTATCCACTATTTGTTGATGATGAAATCAAAGTTCTGAGAAACTGTTATGCAGCCGGCAGGTGACAAAAGTCTGAAATGGAACTCAGGTCTCTAACACTTGCAATTCAAGTGAACCTTCTACTCTTTCACTGGATGTTTAAAGACAGGTTTTCACCTGGAATAATGGCAAGTTTGTGTGTAACAGTCATTGTCTTTGCAACCTCCCTCCTAACAGGGAGTGGGTAATATAAGTCAGACATGGTTTCACAAGATACCTTGGCATGTGGAGACTGTGAACACATATCACTAGGCTATCATGTTTAGGTGCTGGAGTTTCTCTCTTTTAAATATTTTACTATTAAATAGCATACAAACGGAGATTTACTTCTAATTCCTTATAGAGGTTAAAATTATAACAACGCAGATCAATGACTTCAGCAGTGAAATAAAGGGTGTCCTGCATCCATGTCAATGCCAAAGAATCGAAAAAGAATCCTTTTACTCCTTAACCCAGCCAACCTCATGCTCATCAATCATCTGGGCTAGAGAAAGGAACTCACAGACAAGAATCCTGCCCTGCCCTTATTGCCCCACGTCAGTCCTGCACAGTCAGCTATGGCTCACCTCGCTGTCTCCTTCCACTCCATCTCCTGTCCATCCACGGCCAGCAGCTCATCCAGTTCCGTGAAGAGCTGAGGGGGTGCTGGACTGTCATCCTCCTCGCCCAAGATGAATCGGATGCGTTCTGCGGCGGGAGAGACTGCAGAAGTGAAAATACTGTGGTTAAACATTGGCTGGACAACCCTGAGGAAAGTGTAACTCCGAGCTCTTCCTCCGTCCCCAAAGCTGATGGGCTTCCCTTCCACATTTTCAGTGGACATCTTCCTTGCTGAGCCTTCCTTGTCCCCAACCTAAAGACAAACAGGAATCCAAGGCCTTCTCTAGACCTTTAGTTCTGAACTGTGTCTCAGCTCTCCACCACTCTCCAGAAGGACAGTGCTCCAGTTCTGTGTGGCGACTAGCAAAGAACCTTTAGCCCTCTGATGAGCTCAGGTCCAACCACATGACCTTCCCTCCTTCCCCACTGATGACCCATCCAAAAGTATAAGACAGAAACCAGCTTGAGCCAATCACTTTTTTCTACAACGGTGGGAGGGGGCAACAGAGCACCCCAATGCTGGGTTTCCCCCAGGCCCCCGCCTCCCAGCCACCCTCCCTCTGTCCAATGCCCAAAGCAGCCCACGCCTTCGCAGGTTCCTCACTGCCCATAACTGCCTAACTGCAAAGCTGATGAAGGAATATTTAACAAGATGGAGCCTCTTCTTTACATAATGGCAGTACCCAAAAATGTTTAGTCACACTTCAGTGCACTTGAAAAACAAGCCCAAGTAAAATATTGTACACACGAGGGGAAAAAAATTTCCAACACACTCAAGCACATAATTGAATGCCCTACTAGCTCCTTTTGACCCCATCTCCTAAAAATCATGTAATGAAAAATTAACTAGAATTTCCCCCAGGTTGTGGGCTATTTTCTCTTTCTTTAAAAAAAAATGGAAAGCATTTGGAAACTGATGGCTATATTACAAAACTAAGGCCCACAGATACTCCTTATAATCCCTGGGTAAAAGCAAGAATATACATGTGACTGCAGTCCGAGTACACAGATTTATTCATATGCAGAACTTTGTAGAAATATATGTACTCAACCTAAAAAAACAAAAAACTTCCTACCATCTGAAAACCACTATAATCAGGACAGAATAAAATTCCACAGATCAAAATATATTTACTACAAATAAACCCATGAAAAAATATTCAACCTACCTAGTAATCAAAACTAACTATTAAAATAAAACATATGTTTTACCTATAAAAATGGCAAAAACTGGGCTTCCCCGGTGGCGCAGTGGTTGAGAGTCCACCTGCCAATGCAGGGGACACGGGTTCATGCCCCGGTCTGGGAAGATCCCACATGCCGCGGAGCAGCTGGGCCCGTGCGCCATGGCCGCTGAGCCTGTGCGTCCGGAGCCTGTGCTCCGCAACGGGAGAGGCCACAACAGTGAGAGGCCCGCGTACCGCAAAACAAAAAGACAAAAATGGCAAAAACTTTAAAGAATGATCATCTCAATGTTGGCAAGGGTTTAGGACACGTGTACCAGCACCTTCCAATTTATGTCACTGGTGGGAACCTAAATGCAAACATCTCTCTGAAAAGGTATGGAAATTTTTTTAAAGTGTATCTGTCCTGTGAGTCAGCGATTCTACCACTAGCAAGATGTTCATTCTAAATAAATAACAGTTGTTATCACAAAGTTTTAACTACAGAGGTAACCACTACAGCATAGTTTATAATTGAGAGAAACAGAAAAAGCTTAAATGTCCAAAAAGGAGGATTGGTTAAATAAACTATATTACAACCATTCAATCAAATACCACACAGTCATAAAACATGAAGATGAGATTATTGTTTTTTGACATATATATCAGATAATATTAATTGAAAAAAATAAAATTACAAAATCATATGCATAAAGCAATCCCATTTTGGTAAAGAAAAAATTACACATATATCCATAAAATAGTCTGGAAATGAGAGAGCCCTCATTTTGCGTGGTTCTAATAAGTGTGAATTTCAACTACCACAATTTGGTTAAAGAACACTAGTCCCCCAACAACACAGCTCAAATTTCAGCTGGATGGTAAATTAACTGAGTAATTGCATAAAATACAATTACTGTATCTTATGTACTGTATTTTACGTATATGTACATAACATATATGCATCATGATCGTGACCAATCATAGTGCTCCTTTCGAAGTCTGCCAGTGATTGGTCACTACACGTTTGTTATCCAGTTCATGCACAGACAGCAAAGTGTGTAGCTGTGCTGCCTTCTTGTCTTCCAATGATAAATTCATATGACATGAATAATCAAAAGAGGGAGCTAGCCAACAAAGATGAAAGTACAGGACAGAAACAAAAAGTACTAACACTGGAAGTGAAATCTATGTCAAATACGAACGGAGTTAACAGAAGACCTAGCTGATTATGGGAATGTAGATAATGCTGCCGTTCCCCATTTTGAGAGACTCTAGATGTACAGTCAGAGGAACTTAGTGAAGGCGAACTCATTAACATAAAATAGTAAGGCAAGTGGTTGTAACAAAATGCTAACGATGTCCCAGAGGAAGGGATGCTGGCAAAAGTCTTTCATGTTAAAGGAACCCTCAGAGACATTCCCTAACATGGAAAGCGCAAACGATAAAATGTTGGAAGCTGATCCAGACTTAGAGAGGAGAATGACAATTGCTCTGAGCATAGAAAAGAGGCTCACTCCATTTCGTGAATTGTACTGTAGGAAAAAGGCAAATTACTTCCGATAAGATTTCACAAAGAAATCAACCACTTTAATCTCAATGTTTCTAATGTTTTAAATTAGCAAATACTAAATAAATAACTAGTTTTACTATTTTTTTCACCTCCCTATACCTTTATAGCCAATAGTAAGAGAGATTTTAATGATTTGGCAAATTTTTTTAAAGGTCAAAGAACAATAATAACTTTTCCCATTGATCATTAGGATTGTTTTGTATAATTTCAGCTTGCATAGTCATTTTTATGGTCCTGCACTACAGTGTAAAGCAAGGACTGCCTGTATACATACCTTTTAAATGTTATGCAGTTTGCTTCTAGGACTTCTATTTTCTTCCTTTCACTTTCCTATCAATTTTAAAACGTCCACAACTCATTCATGTATTCACTCAGCAATATTTATTGAGTACTGTCTATGTTCTAAATAGGCTCTGCTTCAGGCTTTGAAGATAAAGCAAAGAACCTGACAAAAAGGTCCCTATTCTTACTGAGTTTAAATGCTGGGAGGGAAAATAAACATTAACTAGTTAATTAATTAGTTAAGTGAATAAATAAATTAGTACATAAACCAATAAACAAGAAAAATATCTACAAACTGTTTTGTGTTCGCACAACATTAAAATAAGTTAACCGAATACATATTAATATAAGATACAATATGTTTTACTTTTGTAATTAGAAAAAAAGCTTTGAAATTTCTTAAATCTCTGGAAGAAAAAAATCTAAAGTTCCAGGACTTTTGTGTAAAAACATTTGCAATGCCTTTCCAATCAAGAAATGGGATGTGGGCTTCCCTGGTGGTGCAGTGGTTGAGAGTCCGCCTGCCGATGCAGGGGACACGGGTTCATGCCCTGATCCGGGAGGATCCCGCGTGCCGCGGGGCTGGGCCCGTGAGCCATGGCCGCTGGGCCTGCGCGTCCGGAGCCTGTGCTCCGCAACGGGAGAGGCCACAACAGTGAGAGGCCCGCGTACCGCAAAAAAAAAAAAAAAAAAGAAATGAGCTAAATACAAGACACAGTATTGCATTGAGACTCTGGAGCCAAACTGTCTGGGTTTGAATCCAAACTCTGCTGCTTATTTGCTGTGTGATCTGAGAAAAGCTAGTTAACCTCTCTGTGTTTCAAGTTCCCCACCTGAAAAATGGGATGATGATGATCACCATAGTAGCTAAAATACAAGGTTTAAGTTCATTAAAAAATTGTTGACCCTTACTAGCAAAACCTGCCTAGCTTCTAAGAAAGAAAGCTCTCACAGATATTAGCCTTGACAACCCTTATATGTTGAAAATATATAAGGTAAGAAAGAAAACGGCCAAAAGTTCTGCATGTTTTACTTCAGTGAATTAAGTGGCTTCAGTAATGAGAACACAAAGGTGTGTGTTTTAGGAAACAGCCAATGGAAGAACAAGGGGAAAATAAAGAAACCCCTTCCGCCTCACTTTAATACTGGGGGAGAGGGGGCAGGTGGGGGGCAAAAACATCAGAAAATCAACTTGCTTTACGGATGAACAGATTATGATTCTAAGTAATATCTAATCTAGTTTCATCATAAAAGAGAACCTGGAGAAAAAAATGAGACAGGGTGACAGAGAGGAAAGAAAGGAGAGAGAGAAACTCTCAAATTCATCCAATCACCTTTGTCAGAACAGAAGGCCCCTACATCAAAGTGAAGTTAATGTCTCTAATCTGCCTTGATTTTTTTCTTTTTTTATTCTGCCCTCTGGTTAAAATGTGTTTTGGCTTTTTTGAGTAGCTGTAGAATTTCCTGGAGGGTCCTATATCAACATGGTTCCTCTGACCCAGGTCCACCTGTTGGAAGACCACGTCATGGTCTGCAGGGCTTGGGGACACCCAGTGCTCCCAAACCCCCATTGCCAACAAGAAGAAAGCAAATGTAGGGCAGGGATGCTGTCCACACTTACTGCTGCCACCAGCTACTGCAGCAGACATCACTTCCACACCCGCACTCTAACTCCTGTGGAGCTTGAACTTGGCCTCTGCGTTTGCCTTTCATGTAACTCTGGCCTCAATCTGTGCATTCAACCTTTTCTCCCACAGCAACCCAGGAGTGTCTTGTGACGAAATATACCTGATCATTTTCAGATCTGTTCCTTTTTCCAGTCTAGAATATTCTTTTCTTTCCTCTCTAACTCTGATTCAATTTCTAAGGCCCAGATGGAGAGTCTATCTTTTCCAATAACCTATACTAACCATTCCCAGAGACATGAATCTCTCCTTTATTCAAACCATAACAACACTTTATGTCTGAATTACTCATTTAGGCACTAACAAATATACAGCTTGCTCATTAGTCCCTAAACTTTTGTAGATGGCACCTTCTCTCTCCAACTAGGTCACCAAGGCCCTGGAAGACAGGGTCTGTAT